GTTTCTCACCACATCTAAGACCCACTAATCTCGCTATATGAATCTCACTACTTATGCTCACTTATGGACTAACTATAAAATACTGCTACATCGCACTTTGTGACTATTTTACCTCGTTTTGGATTTACTTTTAGAATGTCAAGGAGAATGACTCATCGACTGAGTGCTTTTCAGTTTTTTCTCATGTTAATTTTCATTTTTTTATGGCAGTATTATGATGTTTGTGTCATAAGATATAGTTGTAACTATTTTTACCTTTGAAATGAAGAGTCAGCTTTTTGTTACGAAAATTTTCGATTGACTAGCCAGCTTTTTGTTTCATAAAGCCTCATTAGTAATATATCCTTTGGTTTCTTCCTTTTACTTAGTTATTTTAGCAATAGTAACACAGTATCCCTTATCTATAGTATAGTGCTGAGTACTGCACCTTATTTCAATGCATAATTAATTGTAAGACATCACTGTCGAGAGTTAATGAAACATGCTTAACATCTAATACTTCCGTAGTGCCAACTGTGTATTGTGAGACACGCAGCTCATAATTGTCGATTGTGAAGTGGAGATTTTAGTCGACGAAGGTTACTTTATTCAGAAAATTATATATATGCTCGCCAACTACACATAAGGTACGGAGTTTGATCCTCGGCTGACACACTCTTAAATCTCGCTTAGCTAGTAGTAAGCCTGATCAAGAGGGAAGGTTGGACTTGAGACTAGCAAGCCTATTCTGTAAAATGAAAAGCATTAATACCGAAACTTCAGGCTCTCTGAGCCTGAAACCCATCCAGAGCTCAAAGGGATAAAACTTTAAAAATATATAAATAAAAATTATATTTATACATCAACTGTCTCCGCTCAATACTCAAGATCAGATGGCCAGAAAAGATCAGCAACAGGGATCTCTGGGAGCGAACCAATCAGGAACCGATTGTGAAACAAATAGGCAGAAAGAAATGGAGATGGATTGGCCATACGCTGAGGAAACCATCAAGTGACATCACTAGACAAGCCCTCGAGTGGAACCCGAAAGGGAGGCGGCAAGTTGGTCGTCCAAGGGTGACTTGGAGGAGATGAAAGCATGTGGACAGACCTGGAGCAGGGTGAAAAAGTTGTCAGGAAACCGAAGGCAATGGAGGTGCGCAGCTGAAGCCCTATGTTCCTCTAGGAACTAAAGGATACAATAATAATAATATACATCAACTGTGAGATTGTAGTTCTTAGTACAACAGTGTATACTGTCAGTGAAGGTTTTGTCATATTCTAGTTTAGCGTCATCAAATATGTCCTGCATTATGAAATTTTACCAGTTGTGTGGTTCTTACTTGCTGAAATTGATGTTTTTATAACAATGCTACCTCTAACTTAAATGACTAACCAGCTTAAATATAGAACTAGACTTTATTCTTGAAGTAGTCGTATCAATATTTCGAATAATCCGTTGGATGGGGATGGATTTTCAATTAATTATCAGTTTATTTACATAGATGTAGTATCTCTTATAAGTCATTTAACTTATACGCCATAATGTATTCTGTTTTTATCTTAGGCATATAATGCATGCTTATCAGTCTGCTTAAAACCGATCCATTTCATTTGTACCGTATTTATGAGATGTATTTAGTTATTAAACTACTGTGTTGACATTATTTCCTATTAACTGAAACCATAGTTTGCATCTTCTTATTGAAATTCATTGGACTCTTTTATTTTTTCATTTGTTTAACGATTGAATTAAGTCTGTGTCATTTTCATTCAATATTTATCAGAGGATGTTTCTGAAAAATAACTCCATCATGTATTGTAGTTCGATATTTCCCCCAGTTATTAATGTATGTAAGAAGATTATGTACACGATGTAAAATTACTTACGGAATCCTTTCCAGTTCTACTAAAGGCTTCAATTTAGTGAAAGAGCTTTGGAATTTTGACTGGAATCATTATCTTAGGTCATAACTATTAAAGATGCTAAATAAAATTATTATTAATATTGAGTTGGTGAAAAATAATTAAGTAGTAAAACTGATTTATTTCACTTTGTGTACAGTTATATACTGTGACAAATATTCCACTGACCATTGAAATAAAATATGTTTCTATGCTTAAATTCATTTCATAACCGCAACTCTACTTCCTTGACAAATATTTTTATATGAGATTTGAAGTGCATTGAAGGACTACTTAGTTGGTGTTTCTACTCCCACTGTTGCTGTTTGTTATGCTCTATTCAGTTGTCTTTATATGAATCTCTGTGTTAAATCATTGTTTAATTATGCAGTGACTTGTAGACTTAAAATCTATATATGAGGTTAGATACATTAGTTATTGAGGTTTCGGCGCCAAGAAATCGTTTTAGTATCCTATTTCCTAGTTTTTTCTACTATTCTCTTGTCATCGAGTTGTACGTTAGCCAGTCCTTTTGTCATAAACTTCCATACTTCATATGTTGTTGATGCAGATATTTTCACTTCCTCCACATACGATGTCCTCTTCTGATTCGGTGTGAGGAGAATTGAAGGGGAAAAATTTAGCTGAGTACCACCTAGTATGGTGACGTTAAACAGAAGGTTATGCTCCTTTTACTCATCTAGAAGCTGTGCAAAATATTTGATCTAACAGCTCACGTGGTGGGACCAGAAAAGTTATTGGCTAAAATCCTAGCAATACTTGTGTTTTCTTTCCACCGTCATCAAATCAATCATGAGGACAAAACCATAAGTAGACGTAGTTTTCGCAAATATGTGATGTGTTTCCGCATCCAACACCTGGTCATCCAGGTGTGACTGAGTTTAAAAAGGTTGTCTCTAACCTGGAACGAAGCACGACCCGATTCAATGACTCCAAAGGTGTTTAAAGACAGTCTTGACAGACTGTTGTTCAGGTTGATTAGGATATTACATAATGCCTTAGAATCAAAAATAGTTCTGTCAGACTAGTGTAAATCATTGATGATTGTCGTAGTTTATTAAAAAGAGAGACAAGTCTCCCTATGATAATCATAGGGGGACAAGTATGTTATCTAAAGTCCTAGTGTAACAACAGAAGACAAGGGCCAGGCAACAGATCGTTTTATTATGAAAATCAACACGTATTTATACATCTTTCAACTACATTATTATAGACAAGCGCAGTCATCTGACTGGTTGTTTAGGTAGACAAACGCAGGCTTCTGATTGGTTGTTTCGGGATTCCTTGACAAATAGAGTTCTCTCTGCGAATCATATTCTGCCACGTTAACTTTGCTGTGATTGGTTGTTGACTCAGGCTTGTTCATATTTTCTCACGGCCCATATTAGTGACCTAGACCTTAACGTAGATTAGTGCCAACCAATCGGCTAGCAGCCTGCTCTCACCACACTAGGTCAATAAATCATGCCTAAACTAAGGGAGGTGCTTGGGAGAAACAAACATGAAAAAACGGAAACCCGACGTCATCCCTATATGAATACGCCATGCGTTTCAGATTAATTATGTATTATTGTTTTAGTTGAGATTCATAAAGGAGACTAATTGCTTTATATCACCTTTTATACCGGTATGAGTCTACCAATTTAAAACATTTCAGGAACTGACTTCCTGTCTGAACAAAATCTAATTTATTTAGAGTACACAGATGATGTACTAGACGAAGAGAATGATCAACTACTGATTACTCTGAAAACAATGAGCGAGATTTTGAGCATGCTCAGCATCAGTTTTCCTCTCAGATGTTAGATTATTTCTTCATGACTCGTCTGTACCAACTCCTAGTTCATGATAAGGGGCGATTATAGGTTTTCGACATGTGTCTTCACTGCATCACTCCCCTTAGGTGTAATTTCATATTAATGTATGCCGCGATTGCGCATAGAGTAGTATGTAAAACAGACAAATTACTTGATTATCTGCAGGAGCAGCTAAGACATAAGCGTGTTGAAAATTAGCTCTCTTTGATGACTATATTTACCAATTCAAGACTGCGTTGTAAAAAAAAGGTGATACTCGGAGTCTTTCCATAAAGATACTGACTTTTGTTCAATTACTGTTAACTATCACGTTCATGCTCTTCCTTTGTTGTATATTTAGTTTCTTATTGTCTTGATACGAATTAGTGCAACTTCAGTCGATGAATGTATGTGCATAGCACCATAGAAAACTGTCTCTCAGTTTATGAAATGAGAAATATCGTAATTTTACACAACCAAAAGGGTCAGTCAGACTAGTGGAACACAGAAACGTAGCATAATCTAGACTAGTTGACTTGAATAATATAAGAAATCTGGAGAATAGTTCAGCTATAAAACTACATGTAATTACATACAACCATACAATAGGATGGGATAAGATAACGGTTTTAAAATTTAATGTAACAGGGTGGAGAGAGAGGTTGACAACGGAAGCTTTGTTTATCGAACCAACTGCAAATACATGTAATAAGAATGATTCAACACCTATCCCAGACATCTGGAAAATTCTATTACCATAGCGACAACAAATAGGAGAGAACAAAGGAAACTATAAAACTCAAGTTTCGAATTTGTGTGATTATAATTGATATGATTATGGAGAGTAAATTGTGTTAACTGTGGGATATATCAAATAAATAAATAAATATGGAATTACATACTACCACAGTGGCCATGTTCTACACATATACCAAAGTATCCTTCATATGTGATACCATTTTCTCAGCTTAACATTGTGGTTACTATAAAATTTGCTTTGGAATTATTCATCATCTGTATGACGAGGTAAATTGTTATTGTCTACAGCAGGTATAAAAGCTATAAAGACGAGGGATTTCGCTTAAATTTTACGGTATTCTGATCTAGATTTCCCATCGGGAAATTTACGTGTAGGCAAACTTAATCGTGCCTACTAATGAGTGCAACCGCATAGTACTCTTTATAAAAATAGCATGGTAAATCTATCAACTCAGCTCCATAGGATTAAATATTTCGAGTATTATTTTCTATTAATATATATATATATGATTTTCTATTTTTTATTTGTTGTGTTTCAAGGCATGTGGATTTATTCGGGACATTAGTAAATGTGAACCACAAAATCTGTATACTTATTTTTCTAATTTTTCAAGTGATGGTGAGTGATGTTATTTGTGTGTTCAGATGTATTCATACCAATTCATTTAAAAAACAGTTCCGTCACACAGACTGCTGTCAAACACTTAATTATATTTGCATTTCTGTTGATTGTCACTATCATCTATTCATCCTGATTTCTCTCATGCAGAAAGTGCATCGGTTCAAGTTCTCACACTACTTGATAGTAGAAAATTCCAAAGAATTGAAACGCATCACAAATGATATTTTTGAAGACATCGCATTTCAGCATAGTGGAATATCCAAGGCTGAACTTTTCTTACTGCGACATGTGCTATTTACAGAATTTTATACTAGTTATACAACCGGATGTGTTCTAGAGTAGTAATGAGTTTACATTTCAGTCGGAAGAAGTTCTGAAGAAAGTAGCGAAAGTATGAGAAGGATTTATATAAGTAGACAGAAATAACCAACAGAATTCAACGGATATTTTTTTTTGATGTTCGACACTGGTATTATTGAATTACACTCTCTGATTCCTTTAACAAAAAATTTCACCTGTCCCCAAACGTGTTGCTTCCTACAGTATGACTACTGTTAATCAGAATGTTGACTGTTTTCCTGAAATATTGTATCAACTAAACTGTTATTTTCGCAAAAGTTAAATGAAACCTACGCACAATCTTTAGTTTCTTATCAGCTCTGTACAACTATATGTTGTACATATAGTTGTACAGAGCTGTAGTAGTAGTAGTGCGGCTCACCGATCTAAATTCTCGATTTACGAACGGAGTTCTTTGATTTCGGACTCTGTGACACTTACTTTGTTTTAGAGAACTGGATATTTCCTCACTTATTATATGTTATCCATAGCCTATTACATATACGTGTACTGAGCATGCTCTCGTTGTACTTTGACTAGTGGCAAATCAAAGTGCCAATACTGGCGCAACTAATTTGTGGTGTGACAGCAGTTGTAGATGAGGCTGTTATTATCAGAAATGGGGGTTTTAATATTTCTCTATTAGGTTACTGATCCTTTTCCTTTCAGCTTTGTTTCAAGCAACAAATGGTTAGTAGTCATGTACATAAGCCAAACTCATACAAACTATGTGATCTGTTTTTTTCATGTAAGATTGTTGTATTTACGTGATGTTCATATTAGTTGGACAGCTTCCAGATAAAAATTAATAACGTTTTCTAAGTTTGCGTTTTCATAGTATCAAGTCTACTGAAATATTCATTTCCCCTCACTTCATTCTGTAATAATAATCCATGTTTGCAATATAGCCCTTCCATACAATACATTGTACATCTCTGATTGGACACTAGTTACTAGTGTGATGTGTCTAGTCCTTTCTTTGGTGCAGACTGAATTCTCTCAGTCAGGTTTGCAATGTAGCCACCATTCTAGGTAGCCCAGCATCATGGTGCATATTGATTCGATGATTTTAGGAGGTTGAAAGCAATCGGCAGGAAGCTTTGGACTGAGGTTTCGTGGTAGTTGGCACTTGTCAGCAAGGCGTATCTGCAACCTTGATGGAACTCATGTCCCTTCTGAGATTCGAACCCGCGTCACCCAGTGCTGCAGTCAGAGACGTTACCACTGAGGTCAATCGCGAGCCTGAATAGCTAAGTGGTAACTGACTGAAGCACTGGATGACGCGGGTTCGAATCTCAGAAGGGACATGAGTTCCTTCAAGGTTGCAGATACGCCTTGCTGACAAGTGCCAACTACCACGAAACCTCAGTCCAAAGCTTTCTGCCGATTGCCTCCAACTATCTAACATTCTACATCTTTTGGACATAAATGAATCGCATTTGATTACGTTGTTGAATGAAGCCATTTATAATTGAACGTATATTTTTTTTCATCTTCACGATTTTCCACCTTAAAGCGGTCGATTTATTACAAAAGATGCTTCATCTTGATCCAGATCGACGCTTAACAGCTGCTCAAGCATTAGCTCATCGTTACTTCGCGTCGTATCATGACGAGTCTGATGAACCCGTTGCAGAGAAGTTTGATGATCCATTTCAAGATGATAGTAGTGTAACATTGGATCAACTGAAAGGTACGTATATCATGCTGGTACTGCTTTTTACTCAAATATGGTTGCAAATTTTTATATAAATGATATAGATGCTTATACCGACTTAATGTTTGAAGTGTCCTATATTCAATTTTCTCTCCTTATATGATTGCTTGTAGTCCATAAGTAATGCCTGATTTACTACCTGTCAAATGGATAGTATCATTCAGATAGTTTTAAGAAATTACTTCCAATGAAAATTACTCCCCGCGTTTGTTGTTTTAATTTTTTGTTGGAAATTGTTAACGATAGAAAATAAAATATATGAACCGTTCCTTGTACATGTTGTGCAGATTGAATCTATTGTCCACTGGTTGTTAATAAGGAAAAATATGCATTTATCATGTTTCTCTTTGTTTAGAAGTCTAAATGGCCAGTCTATTAAAGTAGTAGTTATTAGAACAATGGGTATCCATTCAGTGTCGCATGCTTCCCAGCACATACTTTAAAGGTAAGGATGAGACATTGCCTCCTGTAGTGATTTACGACATCAAGATAACGATGCTCTCGAAAAAGTCACCTGACTATAATTTATGGATGGAGAAGGACAGCATCAGATAGTTCCTTTTTCTGAAACAGATGTATACAATATATACAATACATTAGACATTACACTTAAACGGACGTAAAAATAAGTGGTTGCGAAACTCTTATGTATTCAGCTTATGGGTTGATCATGTATCATTATTTTACATCTAGGGAGAAAAATGATGCTAGAGCTTCACTTCTTTCGAAGAATGCTTCATACAGTTATTTGTTGTCACAAGTTAGTTAGGGCAAAGCAAGCACAACAAATTTAATAGTGTTTTCTGAAATGATTGTATTTCATTGCCTTTTTTGCAATTAATTTTGTGCTAAATAATTGCGTGCATTCTCATTATAAGCATTGCTTAGTGGGTTGAGTTTAGCTCTTCATTCAACCAATTATACGAAATTGTTTATTATGCTATTTTTTATTATACTGTCTTATAGTGCGACTCACTGTCTTCTTTTCTTTCTATAACAGAGGCTGTGTGGAATACACTAGAAAATTTTGTCCCTAACCTGAACTCCCTACACCTATGTACTTCAGAGGAAACGAGTACGGCTTAAATATGTATCTTATATACATAGGAATATTTTTTTATCAATGTACTGTGTAAGTATGTGTGCATGCATACCAGTGACTTTTATTGATATCAATAAAAATAATGGTGATTATGATGATAATGGTAACAGCATACTATACTAATTATCACTTTCTATACTACCCGACCAACTTTAATCACTTTAATCTATATTGATTATATTTTTTATAAATGAATTAATTAACAAAAACATTTATTCTCTTTTAATTTTTCTACCATACATTGTATAGACTATATATATATTCTCACAAACACTTAAAATTCTACACAGACGAAAGCATACAGCATACGTTAAACTTTTTCATTTTTCTCCATTGTCCCTTTATCTGGCTTCTACCCTATCTACTATTTTTTATTGAAAGTCTCACATCCTGTGATTTTAAAACGGTAGATCATTGCAAGAGACAAGAAATTATAGCTTGAAACGTATAGCTAAGCAGCTGATAATATACATTTTGGTAGTTTTCCACTGTAAAAAATTAAAGGAAAAATTCCTTAAGACTGTTTTGTTTTGTATTTTTTAACATTCTGAATGCGGCTTTTTTAACTGAAAGCAAGATAAAAAATTTGTTTGCTTGGTTCTTGTTATTTTCAAATTTTATTTAGCACTCCGTCACTTATAGTATTTTCTTCTAGCTGAAATGGCCACTGCTGTACCAATTGGTGGCTTAGTGGAGAACGTTAGACCACTATACTAAAACAAAAGATTTGTGCACATCTATAAGGTAAGCACTCTAGTTCTAAAGAATTCCACTGGTACTTAGAACGTCCTGCTTTTTATTTCAGTTTTATTTACATTTGTTCTATCTTGAATTTTGTCTCTGTTTCGTAGTTTCTATTTTGTGTTTACTTTCACCTTTACCGTCTTATGTACACTCCTTTCGGGATAGATCTCCTGTTATAGAATCCACCAAAGATCTCAAATCCTCCCGAAGCACCGGATAATCAGTTGGTCCATACATGCACGTAGAAGAAATATTGTCTGTTTGATTTTCGAATATCACATGATCTCGGTTCGGGTATCGGTAGCCTCATTCACATCTGTTTCGTGAAAAATCGTTGTCTCGTGTCCTGTCTCTCCGGATCGCATCATTTTTTTCTTGTCCTTGAATAACGAAATTAGGTGTTTTGACCAGCCAACCACCAATTACCTTACATGAAGTAAGGATATTTTGTGTTTGGAAATTATCTGGGTCATCCAGTAAACAGCACTTTGACACCATGTCTTGACGACCGTTCTTTGAGTTTACCAGTCTGTTTGTGACATTAGGTACATTTTCTCTTAGGCATAAGTTCAAAGTTACCGTGATAAACTTATCCAAGACTGATAGAAAATATTGAACCTAGAAATTGCTGTAGAGTTCTCTCAGTTCTCCCTTTCACTGCAAAACTAACAAAATACAATACCCACCTCTTTCACAACCTGTTGCCATCTTGCTTATTTTCAGTTCCCGCCGATTATGTTGACTTTTGTTTAAATGGCTCGAAAATCTGCTTATCCTTGGTGGGGCAAAGTTTGGTGCGATTTTTCTGATTCCTACTGTATTATCCCTTATATACTTCAATGGTTCATCACTCGAAATTGCTTTAGCATAACTGATAGAGTGCTTAAATATTTCATAATGCATTTAGTTTGTTAAGAACTAGAGTATGACTTCATTGGAATGCATGTGAATCATACTGCGTCAACGTTTTTGGCAACATTAAAAGTTATGATTCGCCAATGCACTATGTCACGACAAAAATCAAACACGAAGCTTCAAAACTGTCTGATATCAGGTTAGCTGAACTTGAAATGATATAAACAGGCGGACAACAGATAGTTAATCTGTCCATAGCAAGACAAAAATTCATTTTCAGAGTGAAAGTCAATTGCATTGGTGACTGTTGTGCCGAAACATGGTGATACCACTAACAAGAATAACTGTATGATGTCTTAGAATGCTAGTTCTTCTCTTCCATAAATTTTCCGTACAACCCGTTTAACTGCACATTTTCTCTATGTATAAATCTTTTCCTCTGAACTGAGAATGATGCTGATAAATTCCCACTGATATATTAAGAGGAGTAGTGATCATAAATCACTAACATATCTATGTCAGAGATTATCCTTCCAAATGATGCGAAAACATCAAATATTTAAAATACTTTATTAGTATTACGGTATACTTATTCATTTTAACTGAATGTATCCTTAGATGCCTAACGTAAATTCATTTTTTATATCGCGAAAATTCCTTACCAATTCTGAGGAAGTGCTGAAGAAGTCAAGAAAATGCAGAGTTCAGAAACAAAGAGATGTTTCCAAACGTATATCGTTTGCATTAGTCTAGGCTGTGGCACGGAAAGTACAGTATTGTTCTGAAGTAATAACATAGTTTAACTAACCTTGCTGGACTTCTTTGAGTAAGTTGTGATAGTTATACTGATACATAATTTTGAGGGTTATCATGACAATAGCAAGCACAAAAGTGCAGTGTATATGCTTGATTAAAACTCTGTGTGTTTAAATGTTTTAGCTACCTTTGCCATAAGTGACACTCATTCATCAGCTATATGAAAACGCCACATGACAAGTGATTCACAATAGACATTCTTTTATTTAAAAACAGGAGTGAGACGTGGTTGCCTTCTGTCACTGTTTATATTCTTGATTATGGTGGACTGAATCATGCAACAGACAGTAGGAGGGAGAGAATGGATGCACGTTGGATGGACGAAAAACACTTGACTTTGTGGATAATTCATTTGTAATGTCACACAAACTCCAAAATCTACAGGTGAAAATCGACAGATAAAATGCTTAGCACTTGGGCTACCGGAAACCTATATCTATATATTGCGTTTAGTTTCTCTTATTCTATTTGTGTAAATCTATTGAAGTATGACCTCTAATAGTATTGTTATTTACTCTGGCGAGTATTTAAAACATCTACAGCCTGCTGATTCATAAGTTTCTGCTAAACATGAGAAAAAGTATTATCCTAGATGGCAGCTTATCCTAATACATGAAATAACTGTACCTATGTTTCTCCTTGGTTCACTAAATGTACTCCTGACGTTTTTATAATTGTCACTCAATCAAATATGCATTTCTCTAAGGAGACAAAGAAGCAGTATCATAATTGATTGGTTCGCGCTCCAGGTCTGATAGAACTGTTTTTGATGTGGCTGTATTCTCTGAGCGAATTTGCGAAGCTTTCATCGCCCTACTGGGCAACATCTTCAGTGCATACTTCAATTTGAAGTGAGCTTTTAGATTTCTCCAAGAGTCTATTAATCATCTGTCCTGGTGACCTTGGACGTGATTGGTTGTTTTTGTGTGTTTTCACACTTTCTAGGCTACTTGTATTGGAACTGAGTGTTTCTTTGACTTGAACTTTTACCCTTTGTGTGTGAGGTTTTCTTCTTATCTGTTGGTAAATTTTGTCTATCTCGATGTGTCTATTGATTGATGATTCACCGGAATACCACGCTTCTAACGAATGGAACACGCTTCCTTCTGTTTGACAAAACTGTGTCACACGACCTGCTGTCAATTAAAGTTATATTTAAATATTATGGACGAAGAGAAAATATCATGCAATAAACTGCGCTGAAAATTCTGTACATTATATAAGCACTTCAGAATAATAGATTGAAAAGAACAAGAAGTTCAGTAAAGATGATGATCTTTTCGGCGATTTCATTCTCAAATGTAGCTGTACAATCGCATTTATATAGATTATTTTACATGGATACAATTTTTATTTGTTTAATTCCACACAGTAACGAAGGTGGTAATATTTTTGAAGTTGATATGAAAGTTTGAAGGTACGAATATAGATTACAAGGGACTTAGAGACAAGATTGCATAGGATTAGAAAACAGTTACAACGTATGCAAAATTAATGTTTGATAACTGGAGAAATAATTTTAAAGGCGAATAAAAGGTGATAATTATTTTCAACTTGACATGAATTACAAGAGGCTTAGAGACGCAGGGATAGGTGTGAACAAATTTATTGCTCATAATCATACCTTCATATGATTATGAGCGGTAAATTGTGCTCAAAACGTCATCAGTAAACATTACTGTATAACACTGTGAGACTTTATCAAAACAAAAATTTACCCATAATGGAATTATACTCTACCACAGTGCATAAGTTTTATTCTTATATCAATGATGCTTTCATCGTGCACTTGCATTACTTTTTACACCAAGTATTCATCTTCAATGAAATTTGTTATGCCATGTAAGATTACTTTCAGTCCATAACCATGTATGCTGCAGTTATAGGGGCGTATCTCTCATGACTGGGTCACTCAACGGTTAAATTAATTTATGATATTTCCTGATATCTATGATCAGTAGTTCTTAAGCCTTTAATGACTGCTGTCTCGAATGTCATAAACAGAAATTTCACAGGCTAACTTGTCAAATCTATCATCTCTTGTTAGTAGATAATGAATAGTTTCAAAATGAACATATTACCGGTCATAATATGTCAGGGAAACAAAAGTACAGAAAGGCCTTTTACACTTTACAACTCGTAACGAGACAAAAATGAAAGTCTGTTGGGTCAGGTACGAAATGTAGATTCTCGTGTTGATAAAATTCCAGTTTCAACCAGATATGAAAGCAATGTATAGACATGAGGCAGTGGATAACAGAAATTATTAAAATATATTCAACCGATGAAAACGCATGAACACTTAGGTACTGTGAAAACTTGAGAGTTTCCTTTGAGAACTAAGTTCTTAACTTCCTTCAAGGTTTAAATAAAGTGGCGCTAGATGTGACTGTAACTAAACAGAGCTACCAGAAGCGTGATGTAACGGACAGCAGTGTGGCCACGTAGAGTGAACTCAAAACGTGATCTGTCATTGTGTCACTTCGTGCGCTTATATATAATGCCGACAAGTATTAGTAGGACGAAAGCCAACAGCATTTCTCTATGTATCCACTCGAATCGTGTTTTG